AAAAGTATCCCATTGTTCTCAGAAACTTCAGTACCCAGAACTCTGTTCAACAGATCCTCGCGGAAGGTCATTATCCAGTGACCGTTTGAATAGAGACTCGTAATCATGTCAACAATAATAAATAAATATGTAGAGACACAGGGGTCGGAAGGACAAAAAGCGAAAGGAGTGGAAGTGGCACCATCCGGCCAGGAAAAAAAAAAAAAAGAAGAGGTGCAGGAACGGACGGAGAGATGATGTCACCCACGGGAGTTCAAAACATGACTGGCGTGTCCTCGTCTGTCCTCATCAGGACACACGCTGCCACAGAAACTCAACTGTTTTGGTCTTTTAAGTCATTTTTTTTTATTGTTTATAGGGTAATTATTTGGGACTCGAAGCCACTTTGGCCTCTCAACACCTGGCAGCATCTTCGAAGGGTGGAAGCTATCGCAAAGGTTCGCTGTCCGTCCCCGTCTTCAGCCGTTGTACTGCTGCTGATAGCGGCGGTTCAGTTCGCGCAGCTCCTTCTCTCGCACCCGCCGGGCCTTGTTGGACTTGGTGGAGCGGCTGGAGCGGGTGGACTGCGCTGACTTGGTGCTGTGGCAGCGCGACGACGCCCGCTTCAGGAGGTTCTGAGAGATGCAGCGCTGCAGGTTCTTCATGGAGGAGGAGGCGGCCATGCTGACCACCCACGGGTGCTTGATGGCCTGGCCCGCCGTGAGCCGCTCGCTGGGGTCCACCGTCAGGATGCGCTCCACGAAGTCTTTGGCCAGGTTGGACACGCTGGGCCACGGCTGGAGACGGGAAGACAGATGTGAGACAAAACAAAACTTTGAATGCCAGCACGCTAAATATCTAGTACGGGATCTTATGAATCTGTCCTGAGTGTTTCAAAGGTTCCCTCCAGACATGTAGGTCATATAAAGAAATTTAAAAAACTATATTTTCGAGTGGAGGGGGACTTTCTTATATTGTGTAAGAATGTGCAGTGTACTTAGTTTGGCATCAGTGCAGTTTTGTCCACTGGACAAAAGAGGGCAGCAGAGAGATACAGCTGCTTAGTTCAGCTGTGAACTAAAGAAGAGGCGTTTGATTTATTCCACTCAACATGATAAGGAGTCTTTTCGTATCATCAGACTCAATAACAGCCGATTTTAATTTTAAAGTACCTCTACTTTATTGATTGGATACGATTTTGCCCGGAGCACGATTTCATGTTTCCAAAATGTAGTCCTACATAAGATATATTTTAAAGCAAATGTTCTCAAAATGTCGACAACTACCGTCTACTGGACTCTATTTAGTATGAGTGACTGGTAGTGAGTCACGCTCTACCCCCTGCTTAGACAGGATTCGGAAATATCCCCCCCCCCCCCCCACACACGGTTTGTACATGATGTCGTGCTTGGCAACCAGCTGTGTTTTCAGTCTCTCAGTAGACAACTAACCCCCCCACCCCCCCTTCACACAGCAGGTAAATCAACAGTGTTGGCTAAAGATACATGACACATACTGTATATATGCCTCAAACTTACACTTCTCCACCACCTGCAGCAAACGTCCAGGCTGTGATTAGTTCTTGGACCGCGGCTCTAAATGTGAACGTTATTTATCGCAGCTGTAAAGACACATGTCCCCAAGGGAAGTGCATTCAGGTCCGCCCGACCACAGCTCCACCTCTCATTTACCCTCAGAACAGGGTTTTCATAACTATGGGTCTTAGGCCTCTCTGCCATACAGTTCTCAGTTATCGATGTCTGAGTGGCGTTTAAAGCCATGGAACAATGTTTCTATGAGTGGGTTCCTGTTTTGTTTGTACTACGCGCACCACAACGCACATGCTTTCCCACTAATAAACTGTTGCTGGCTGTAATGTATCAATAAAAACTAGCCAAAAAAACAACAAAAGTTAAGGAAGAAATTTGCAAGCTAGCAAACAAGCATGTAAACAATGCAGGATCTAAAATATGAATATGAAATTGCAATGCATGACACGTTTCTCAGGACTCAAGGATGACACAATGCAGTTCGGTGAAAATGTAAACATAACCTTGATTAAAAGAAAACTCCATAGGGTACATTTAAAGCTGCTCTAATCACTTTTTGTATCATAACAATGGGTCTACATAATGTAATGTGAAAAAACACAGGATTATCACCCAAATCTGCAGTTCCCCTCAGTTCTACGTTGCATTTGAGCGTCTTTCAGCTCATTGTTTTGGTTTACGGCCCACTACTTCACTGTTCTTGTTCCAGTCTCACCGCTCGCATAGCGCTTTTCTTCAGCCGCTGTTCTCAGTGAAAGAGGTCGGATGAACCCAACTGTACACTTCCTGCTCGGCACCAATCAACACACAGGCTAAGTTAGCGACTAGCAGGTGAACATAGCGGAGCATTTCGCTGCAATAGAGCCAGATATTTCCCTCAGAAGTTGGTGGAGACCAACGCCAGAGGTAAAAGAAGAGCGATTATTGGACTTCCATTCACCAGGTGTCCTGAAACAAGAGTCCATATGGATGCTAATATTTCAGGGCGTTGCGTGTCACAGTATCTTGGCTTATTGCTTGAACTTGGCTTTTGCGTGTCCTTGTGAGTTACATCATGTTGCCTTCTCTCCCATGTCAAACAGAAATGCCAAGAATTATCTTTTTAAGGAAATATCAATTTTAGGCCCTAGTCTGTTGACAGAAAATAGATCTCATTTTCCTTTTTTTAAACCTGAAGTCTTTGATGTTACTGAGACCACACTATCGACTCAACAACCACTATACCACCGTAGGAATGCGTAAGGGTTGATTCCAGTGAAAGGTCCTCTCACTGACTTGCTGTACACACCTAGACCTCATCCAGCAGCTCTGCTATACTATCTGCAAACCTCAGCGAAAATATAGCCCCCCCCCCCCCCCTCAAGTGATTTCAAACCTCGTCTTGCCTGTCGGACACTTGCGAAGTTCAACTCTGGACGCATTCCAAGAGAACCCGAGAAGATTCAACCGCTGCTCATTAAATATTACAAAACTACTCAGCTATTATTCGCGCTGGAGTGGCTGTTTGTGGGGCTAACATTAACCAAGGGGCCCCTTTTTGTAAAGCTCACTGGCAACATAAACATCCCATGCCGCGAAAGAAAGGAACGGACCACTCAGCATTCTTACAACTAGATACACAGATCGGGCGGGCACGCGGGCAGGCGGGCGGGCACGCACGCACGCACGCACGCACGCACGCACGCACACACGCACACACACGCACGCATACCAAGGTAAGAAGGTAAAGGGAACATGAGACGGGTATGGACGTGAGCCGTGAGATGATTCGAGAGGAGAGTTAGAAAATATGTGTGCGCGAGATGAACCATGTCACCTCGGCAGGACAAGCTGACTTCTCGGAAATCTGTTTACAAGGCCTCATGCGGAGTGAGGAATGTATTCCAAATATGGGTGAAGTCTGCGTGCTTGTGAGACAGAGAGCGAGATAGAGAGCGTGTGCAACAGTTATAGCTCCTCACCTCTCCAGAGAAGCTGTACTTCCCCTTGAGGATCTGCCGGTAGAGCCTCATGCGGTTGTCGTCCTCGAAGGGCATGGTTCCACTCAGCAGGATGTAGGAGATCACCCCCAGCGCCCACATGTCCACAGCGTTGGTGTAGGGCTTCCTCACCAGGATCTCGGGGGCGATGTACTCCGGCGTGCCGCAGGTGGTCTTCATCAGACACTCGTCTCCCTTCTTCCTGCTACTGGCCAGACCGAAGTCGGTGATGATGATCTTGGAGTCGGACCCGGGGTGGTAGTAGAGCAGGTTCTCCGGCTTCAGGTCCCGGTGGGTGATCCCCAGAGTGTGGAGGTACTTGACGCCGTCCAGCACCATCTGCAGCACGCGCGTGGCGTCCCGCTCGGTGAAGGAGCCGCGGGCGATGATGCGGTCGAAGAGCTCCCCTCCGGTGGCCAGCTCCATCACCATGTAGACGCGCTCCGCCGTCTCGAAGACCTCCATCAGCTGGATGATATTGGTGTGGCGGACGCGCCGCAGGACGCACAGCTCGGACTCGCACACCTCCCTCCCCTCCCGGTAGCGGGTCTCGATCATCTTGATGGCGTACGGCTGCCGCGTGCTCTTGTGCTCCACGCGGACGACCCGGCTGAAACTCCCGCGGCCGATCAGGGCCTTGATGTCGTACTTGGCCGTGACCCGTGGGTCGAACTTGGCTCGATATTTCGCCACCTTCTTCCGCTGAGGGTCCGACAGATCGGACGGGTCCTTGGGGGGCTGGGTGGAAGCGGTGGGAGTGGCCGCTTGGGCCTGGGCCTGAAACGGGGAGGTGGAGTCAGCCTTGTCACCTCCCCCTCCACCGGCCCCACCCATCTTGCTCCTAGTGCCATCCCCTCGTATGAAGTGTTTATAGATATCTGTCTGAGGATCGACCTGAAGAATACAGGAGCATAGTTAGTCACAGAGCAGAGAAAATATGAAATGAACTAATTGTAAAGACATTGATGTACAGATTCTTAGTCTATAATTAGTTAAGTCCGAACGATATTAGATTTCTGAGGCTGGGACTGATCAACATTTGGGTGATCGTCATTATCTTTTACATAAATGAAGGATCTTGATACGGATCACTAACATCAAATTAGTGAACTATTAAACAGTCCAGCTTTAAAAGTTAGTCTTTAGTTAAAGGGACAGTTCACCCCACAATCAAAAATACATAGTTTTCCCTTTACCTGTAGTGATATTTATCAGCCTAGATTGTTTTGTTGTGAGAAAAAAATGTATTTGAAAATCTCAACAGCGATGTCTCTTTCCAGTACAAAGAGGTCTGTGGATGTTTGTTAAGTAACTGGGTGATGATTTTTGACATTTATTTTTTGGGCTTTGAGGACCTCTAACCTAGTGTCGTATATTTCTATTATATCGGAGAGAAGGCAGAACGAGGCAACTCGCACCAAAACAATCTAGAATGATAAAGAGCACTACAATTAAGAGGAAAAATATGGATTTTTGGTTTTGGGGTGAACTGTCCCTTTAAAGATGAATCCCTAATAAAGGCGTGCGTGTGTTGTAAGGCTGAAAATAACAATTATTTATATTATTAATTAATGTTTTGATACATTTCTTGATTGAGAAAATACAAAAAAAAGTCATAATTTCCCAAATCCCAAAATGACATACTCCAAGGAACAGTCAAGAACCCAAATATCTTCAAGTTAATATCATGGAAGATATAATTATACAATTATCAAACTATTTTCGGATTAATGTCTGTTGGTCGACTTGTCAATTTCAACATTTTCTGATATTCGGGCAACAAATGGGTTTGTTCCATTTTTCAACATAAAACCCATAACGCCATCAGAATATTCTAACAATGTTATAATCAGATTTGCCTGTATATTGTATTGACAGAAAAAAAAAATCTTCAGCAAATTGTTTGAGTCATTTAATAAATAAAGAAGCCAATCATTTTATAGTTTCAGCTTCACAAACATATTGCCGCTTTTCTTAAACTGAATACTTTTGGGGGTTTTGGACAAAACAAGACAGACGGTAGAAAAAACTATTCGGTAGATAATCACAGCCCTATAAAGTTTGTGCTATCAATAGTAATAATGATGGTAGTGTATAAAGCAGTATTGGTGGTATCAGTGGTATTACCAGTACTAGCAACGTTGTCCCACTGACCTTTTTGACCAGGTCCAACTGAACATCCCCTGGAGGCTCAGGGAGGACCTTGCTGTTCCTGCACCCCATCACATCACCTTGGGCCACTGCCCAGCCAGCCACACAGGCCACCAGGAGACCTGCCTCATCACCGCAACAGCCGATCCAACACACTCAGGGCCTCCAACATCCAGGCCGTACCCACACTCAGACAGAGGGCTCATGAATAAAGCCGATTACACACACTCAAGTCCCCAAATGAGCCGGCATCATCCAGTTTAAAAAGTCCAAGAGTTCATGAATTTATTATTGGCGGCGAGGTGTGCACCTCGGCTCCATCAGCAAGTACCGTATCACTGGTTGTGCTTTTTGGTGCGGTATTCTTTTACAGGCCTGTGCCGGTGGGTCTCTCGCGCACGCGCACGCCCACACACACACACACACACACACACAGAGAGAGACAGACAGACAGACAGACCGGCTGCACGGTCGGCAGGCAGCGTGTGTGGGCGGGGTTGTGGGGGGTCCCTCGAGCCCCTGGAAGAACCTACCAGGGCCCCATCTCAGATGGTACTATGTTGAAGAGGAAACTGCCTGAGTACAGCTAGCGTGGGATGCTCACGGGACAAAAAAAAAGAAGATTGATCGGGGTGGGGGAGAGAGAGAGGTTCTCTAAAACAGGTTTTAAGTGCGGTCGCTTTAGGAGAAAAATATTCAGGCAGAACTTTCAGAGAAAATAAGATCATCAACTATGCTCGGATCCATTGGGGGGGGGGGGGGGGGGGGGGGGGGG